GCAGGGAGCCCGATGTGGGGCTCGATCCCAGGACCCTGGGATCATGACCTGAGCCGAAGGCAGACGCTTAACAACTGAGCCACCCAGGCACCCCTGTCTTCCCATTTAAATCCAAAACTACATATAAATAAAAATTCTCCTCTACTAGCATTTCTCGGTCCTCTTCCAACTGCCAATTTTATAAAGGAAGGTGATAGACGTTTTATTCAAGATATATTCATAATATCCATCCTGTTGCAAATTGATGATATAAAAGATCAATCTGGGTGTCCTTAACATACAATGAACTTAGCATATGGGTTTTAGACTTTGAGGTTACCTAGTAGAGTGACCTGTTTGTTATCACTCTCCTACAACATTGGCCAGTATGAGGACACTGTTTTATTAGCCACCATTTCTACCTGCTCCTCAAGATCCACCTGTTATAAAAGTGAAGCAGGAACTGGTCTTCTTCCTCAATTTCCAGTGGGAGCGTCATGTAATGCTTCTTAGAAGAACCCTCACGAAGTCCCTGTCCTTTTCTGGTCAAAGGTTTTCCTAAAATAACGTAAGCAGGGTCTTCTGCATCTAGAAGATCTGACAGTATGTGATAGAAAACTGCTGATCAGCTCAGGGCCAGTGCTGGAAATCTCTGTCCAGTCCACCAGCAAGCAAGCTTCCCGTGGCGTTTGGGCCTCAGTGCCCAAAATATATAAAGACAAAAGTTCTCCATGACCTACAGCTACTACCAATAAAATACCTAATCTTTATAATCACCACTTGGATCATTTAAAAAATTATATTAGAAAAGTTATTTTATATTAATATTTGTATGTAGTAACGAGACGAGTGACTGCAATGATTAACAATAACAACCTGCTGGTGGTTTTCTTTTTGGCCACACATCATGGTTCCCTAATTCCTCAGCATCCATTGACTTTTCTGATCTCCCAGTTTTCAGAGCTGACGGGTTAGAGATGTTTTAGCCAAATTTTGCCCCTGATGGACTCACAGCAGGGAGGATTCTCTTAGAGATTTCGGAGGAGGACTGCAGGCTACTAATGTTTGTAGCAGTGGGCCTCTGTACAGGAAATAGGGTGAGAGGTTGATAAATGATCCCAAGTCTATTAATAGCATCATGGCTGGCTGAGACATTAAGCTACCAAAGCCTTCCCATTTGGGCTCTTTTTACAGGCAGTGTAATAAGAAAGGGGCCACATGTTGATTCCAAGAGAGGCTATTCAGCTGTGCAAATAAATAGCATTTTCCTGCTCTACCCACTGGGTTTTGCATATCTGTATGAATTTCTGCCACAGTTTGCTCTTTGTAATTGACCATCTCCTGGGAAGCAAGAAGGGAAATACTTCCACGAAGACCAATTTTACAGCATTTCAAACACTTAAAGCCTTTTACCTGCTGTAGCAGCGTGCTCCGTTTGACTAAGCTCAAGAGAAAAGAGAACAAGGCTTTTCCTCATCAAGTAAGAATGTCCTGTGCGCTGATGATTCATCTCATCTTCTATCTGAGAAGAACATTCTGCCATCAAAAGCTTGCCTTGGGCTGTTTGAGAACCTCTGCTGAGTCAGCGCTCACTGGGGCAGTGGCCCATCCAAAGCTATTAAGTGCAGATCTTAAAAACAGATGTGTTGTTTGAGAGTGTGCAGGTTATTTATTTTCTCGCGTACTGCGTGTTCTCAAAGACTGCCGAAGCAGCCTGTACTTCAAGCTCTTTTGTGAAAAGAGAGAACAGAGAAAGGAATTATGACTTCAGTAATTTGAGGAGCCTTGATTATCTACTGAGCTAAGGGTTATGCTGGCCAAACACGGTCCACCCAACCAGGACTGGCTATATCATTTGCAGGGTCCAGAGCAAAATGAAAGTGCAGGGCCCCTTTTACAAAAAAAAAAGTATTAAGAAACTCAAGATGGTGACAGCAGAGCATTAAACCAAGTAAGCCAGCCCTGCGCCGAGCTCTCCCTCCCAAGAACCCCAGGAAGTGGATCTTTGAACAGTGACAGTTGAAATGGTATATGGTGGGTTACATTAAAAATGTACTGGGTTGCCTAGCAACTGGCTCAGGGCCTAAATGGCCGGACTTGCAAGTTTAGATACACCATCTTGAAAGTCTAAATTCATGGAAGCCTTCTAGTAGACGGATAATTTTCAAGAAGAAGTAATATAGTGGGAGACAGAAATGGGGAGGGCAAGAAGGAACACATTTTTTCTACTCTTATAACTTGGTGGCTAGCTTGTCATTTTCCCCGTCCCATCTTCGAAGACTATAACTCTTCATAAGTAAGTAAACATGAAAAGGAAACTCCAGTTTTCTCAGAAACATCAACAGTTTTTTTTTCTTAGAGGGTAATGAAAACATGAATTGATCAATAAATATTTTTGAGCATATTGATTTGGCAATTCAAGGGTGCAGTATAAGAAAACGGATTCCCACTCACTGAATATTTCATAGGAAGTGTCTACTATGTGGTAGAGTACAGAGATAAGTAAGAGACCATTTTTCTTCTTAAGGAGCTTCAGTAAGATTACACGAGAACATTAAGCGAAAATAAAATAACTAGATAACAGGATTAAATTTTTAAAGAGCAGAGTCCATAATCTCCTCTTTCTCTCCTGGGTAATTTTGCAGGGTCCTTGTGCAGCAGAATCAGAACCAGCTCTTTTATTAGGGAGCAAGCAGTTTGGGCTTTCGAGAAATAGCCACACTGCAATTGCTTTTGATGACACCAAAGTTAAAAACCGGTATGTATTATTCTGAGATATTGGAAAAGAACTGATAAATGGAAGAACTGAGTATTTGCACTTATTCAAGTTTTAATCAACTACACTGATTTAATACAGTAAGCTTTTTAATTCACGGAGTACAATAGAGAATCGAATTCTAGTGGCCTGAGCCTGCGGAGCTCAGTTTTGGAAATCAGCAGGAAAAGTGGATTTGGAAATCACCTGGAAAGTCCTCATCTCAGAGAACGTTTTACTGTCCTTTATGAAAATTCCCCTACGGGATCAGAGGCAACTTAATCTCAGAATAAGAATGCTTCTGTTTTTCGGTTTTATTTTGCGTGCTTTCTTTCCGCAGCCTCACAATTGAGTTTGAAGTGCGAACGGAAGCTGAATCGGGCCTGCTTTTTTACATGGCTCGGATCAATCACGCGGATTTTGCTACCGTTCAGCTGAGAAATGGATTGCCCTATTTCAGTTATGACTTGGGAAGCGGTGACACCCACACCATGATCCCCACCAAAATCAACGATGGTCAGTGGCACAAGGTAATAATAGTCCATGGGAGGTTGGCCGTGTCCCCTGAGGGGGATGCCGGGTGGCAGCCCCCGGCCTTCCCCGGGTGCAGATACAATGTTGCCAGTGTAGATCCTGACCCTGCTGCTACTGGAATGTGGCTGAGGCTAAAAATAAAGCCAGCGCCACAGACAACAGTTGCCCAGCCTGGGGAAATGTAATCGGACCCGGGTGGGTTTATGTTCGAGCACTCACATGCAGCATCGTGGTACCACAAGATGCCATTATTACCGTACCGCTGTGGTTCCCAAACATCTGTCCACAAACCAGGGCCAGGTCGTTGAAGACATGCTACTCTCAGTGAGAAATGTGGGATGATGGAGCATGTTAATCTTAAATTAGCTCTATGTCTTCAATGTAAAGGAGTAATATTTATCCTGAGATTATATGTTCTTCCTTTTAAAGGGTGCCAAAATGGCCTCTCTTTTATGAAGTAATATTTGACGAACTTAAAAGCTGGGAAACTAAAATGGGCCCTAACACTTGCCCTCCCCTCCCCCATCACACCCCATACTGGTCTGTGAAAACCAAGAGTCTGAGACTCTGCTAGATCATGTTTAAAGGGCTCTAGGGCCACATTTCCAGTGATAGCCATTTGGAACAACTTTTAAAACATTGGCCTTACACCCAGAAACTGGTACTATTATGGGCACAGAAGGATCATCTGCCACCTTACTGTCCTCTTTGGCATGACTGCAAATAGATAATATACTGCCTGATTAAAATGAAAACTCAGAATTTGTTTCTGCACCTGTGATCGCCTATTCAGTAAAGCTTCCCTCGGTCGACCAATAAAATGTTTAATTTTGAGAGTTTGATATTATTAGGTGGTGGATTTTATATATTAACATACTGTGACTTGGCATATCCTATAGAAAGTCAGAGAACCTGAAAAAATACAATACAAATGCAAAGTCAATCAATTTGTTATCTTGGAAATAAGAAATGGAATCTTCCTATTTGCCTGGGAGCTTATGAGTAGCAAATACAGATCTTCATGAAGGAGCTCTCACTAAGGCTTATTCTCCTCTCTGGCTAATAGAATAAACATGACACTTGAAAAACTGACATATTGTTGGTCCACAATGCGTCTGGGATTAAGAAAGAAAGTTTAAATACTATAAGCAGCCAAGTTAAGGAGGGATTTATTTTTGAAGATTTTTTTTTAAACAATTGCTTCCCAAACCAGAATAGATAAGTGTAAAATGAGGTCTTAATTATTCTAATCCTGATGTAGATTCATTTTAAACCATCATTGTACTCCAACATTAGACTGGGCCACCGTTCCTTTTCCTAAACTCAGACCGAAGTTTTTTATGCCCAAGCCAGTCTTGACAACCCCTGATTTCGCCCTGCCCCCAAAGAGAATTCACCCCACTGCTGTAATTTCAGCATCAGGGAGCTGTCCGTCTTCCTCCCTCCCTTTGTACCAATCACGGCTGCTGTGGAAACGGCTGTGCAGCCTTGATGCGCAGCCCTTCCTTCCATTCCGCGTGAGAAGTGCCTATTAGGCAGAGGGATGTAGCAGATCTGAAATTGTGCAGGGGAGACCAGGCTTAGCTCAAACAAATGCATGTTTAAAACCGGACATGAATTTTGCAGCCCACTTAATTCAGGACCGAGCTCTCAATCAGCAAGGCTCCTGACAACATGCATGCCTCCTGATACATAGGCTCCCTTGGCAACCTATAGCAAAGTCTTTCATCTAAAACTCACCCAGGATGATTTTGTACCCTTTTGGAGATGGTAGTCACGGAAAAGACAGAGTGTGGGATATTCTGTAAAAACTGGTTTAATTTCACACGGATTTCACACATATTAGGCACTTAGTAAATTCTTTCATTTTTCCTGACGAATATCCAGAAAGTTCCTACATCTTACACTCTGCGTATTTGAAATTTATCCATGATTGGCTTTAATGAGTCTTCTTCTTTTTATAGATTAAGATTATGCGAATTAAGCAAGAAGGAATTATTTATGTAGATGATGCCTCCAACAGAACCATCAGTCCCAAGAAAGCGGATATCCTGGATGTTGTGGGAATGCTGTATGTTGGCGGGCTACCCATCAACTACACTACCCGAAGAATTGGTCCAGTAAGGGTCTAATTTATTTATTTGTGTGTGTGTGGCTTAAATAACTGCCTGAGTCATGTATATATGTTGAATTATTAGGTCATATTGGCCCCTGATGACTTAGAGATGAGTAGGAAATTGTCTTTTCTGAGAAGTGACAGGTTTTCTAGATAGATTTGACTAGGAGAGGTAATATCACCAAACAGAGTGTCGACCCTGGAGCCAGACTCCCTAGGTTTGAATACCTATTAACTAGCTGTGTGGTCTGGGGCAAGTTACTTAATCTTCCTTTGACAAAGTTCCCCCTTTTGTAAAATAGGATAATAGTACCAAACCAGCAAGGTTACTGTAAAGATTAAATGAGGTAATATATTGAAAGTGTTTGGAAGAGTACTAAGCATACAGAAAGTACTGGAAAACAAGGAAGATAATGTTGATGGTATTGTTTCAGAACTAGAGATTTCACAAATATTGAGAGATGCAGTATTTAAACTACATTTGTCCAATACTGTACTACAGTATTTAGAGTACAGTACAGGATTCAGAATTTAAAGTCCTCACAATTTTATAAACCAGTGTTCACAAAATAATGTTTTGTCAGACCATGTGTCTGGGTTTCCTTTGGAAAGCATGATTTTAAGAAATACAGGGGATCAATGTTCTTAGAGAACATATTAGAAAGAAATGTATTACATTTCTATACTCAGAACATGTGATAATGCAGAGCTGTTCTTCATCAAAGACATCTGTTCACCACAGTTGTAATTCTCAGCATCTGGCTCCCCTTGTGGGTGATCAGTAGTATGCTCCTTTCATAGCTATTGGATAAGCTACCCAGGCCTATCAAAATGAGAGTCTCTGGAGAGTGGCAAGAGTGATTAACATGTGTCCCTAAAATCAGATGAAATATAGTGGAGCAGAGTATGATTGAATTATATCCATGGTCCCTAAACTCTAAATGCTTCAGGCAAACTTTCAAGTTCAAAGTGTATGTGCATTTTCTTAGGAAAGAGTTCACTGCTTTCATTAGATTTTCATTAAGGAAGAAGCACTAAGCCAAACTTGATCTTTTCAAATAGAATTTGAAATTAGATTATGACAAAATGTATATATATAGTAAGGTTACTAAACTATTAATCGAAACATAAGGGGCTAATTAAAAACTTGTTTAATTGTATAATTGACACACAACGTTACATTAGTTTCAGGTATACATGTAATTTGACAAATGTACACATTATGCTATGACCACTACAAGTAAAGCACTATCCGTCACCACACAATGCTATTGCAATATCATTGACTATATTCCCTATGCTGTACCTTTTATTCCCATGACTTATTCATTCCATACCTGGAAGTCTATACTTCCCACTCTTCTTCACCCATTTTGCCCATCCCCCAGCCATCACCCCTCTGGCAACCATCAATTTGTTCTCTGCAGTTATGGGTCTGTTTCTGCTTTTTGTTTGTTCATTCATTCATTTGTTTGGGTTTTTTTTTTTTTCTTTTAGATTTTAAATATAAGTGAAATCATATAGCATTTGTCTTTTCTACCTTATTTCATTTACATAATACCCTCTAGGCCCATCCATGTTGTCACAAATGGCAAGATTTCATTCTTTTTTACAGCTCAGTAATATTCCATTATATATAAATACCATCTTCTTTATCCATTCATCTGTAATAGATACTTAGTTTGCTTCCCTGTCTTGGCAGTTGTTAATAATTCTGCAATAAACATAGGGGAACATATATCTTTTCAAATTAATGTTTTCATTTTCTTTGGGTAAATACCCAGTAGTGGAATTACTGGATCATATGGTAGTTCTATTTTTAATTTTTTTGAGGAACCTCCATACTGTTTTCCACAGTGGCTGCATCAACTTACATTCCTGCCAATAGTGTATAAGGGTTCCCTTTTCTCCACATCCTTGCAGAAACTTGTTATTTATTGTCTTTTTGATTCTAGCCTCTCTGAGAGTGTGAGAAGATATCTCATTGTGGTTTTGATTTATATTTCCCTAAGGATTAATGATGTTCAACATCTTTTCATGTGTGTGCTTGCCATCTGTATGTCTTCTTTGGAAGAATATCTATTCATATCCTCTGCTCATTTTTAATTGGGTTATTTTTGGTATTGAGTTGTATAAATTGTTGATACATTTTGGATATAAACCCCTTATTGGATATGTCATTTACAAATATCTTCTATTCGGTAGGTTGCCTTGTCATTTTCTTGATGGTTTCCTTTGCTGTGCAAAAGCTTTTTATTTTGGTGTAGTCCCAATAGTTTATTTTTGCTTTTGTTTCCCTTGCTTAAGGAGACATATCTAGAAAAATATTGCAATGGCTGATGTCAGAGAAATTACTGCCTGTGCTTTCTTCTAGCAGTTATATGATTTCAGGTCTCACATTGAGGTCTTTAATCCATTTTGATTTTATTCATGTATATGGTGTTAAGAAAGTAGTCCAGTTTCATTCTTTTACATGTCGCTGTCCAGCTTTCCCAGCACCCTTTGTTAAGAGTCGGTCTTTTCCCCATTGTATATTTTTACCTTGTTTGTTGTAGATTAAATGACCATATAAGTGTGGTATTATTTCTGGGATCTCTATTCTTTTCCATTGCACTACATGTCTATTTTTGTGCCAGTATCATACTGTTTTGATTACTAAAGTTTGTAGTTTCCTTGAAATCTAGAATTGCGGTACCTCCAGCTTTGTTCTTCCTTCTTAAGAATGCTTTCGCTATTTGGAGTCTTGTGGTCCCATACAGTAAATTTTAGTATTATTTGTCGTACTTTTGTGAAAAATGCTCTTGGTTGTTGACAGGGATTGCATTGAATCTGTAGACTGCTTTAACAATATTTACTTAACAGTATTAATTTTTCAATCCATGAGCATGGAATATCGTTCCATTTGTGTCATCTTCAATTTCTTTCATCAGTGCATTACAGATTTTAGAGTACAGGTCTTTTAGCTCCTCAGTTAAGTTTATTCCCTGGTATTTTATTCTTTTTGGTGTAATTATAAATGGAGTGGTTTTCTAAATTCTCTTTCTGCTACTTTTTTATTAGTATATAAAAATGCAATCAATCTCTAGGTATTAATTTTGTGTCCTGTAATTTTACTGAATTCATTTCTTCTAATAATTTTTTGGTGGAGTCTTTAAGGTTTTTCTATGTATGGTATGTGATTTGCAAGCAGTTACAGTTTAACAGTTTAACTCTTTCCTTACCAGTTTGGACACCTTTTATTTCTTGTCTGATTGCTTGTGGCTAGGATTTTCAGTACTATGTTGAATAAAAGTGTCAAGAGTGGACTTCCTGGTCTTGTTCCTGATCTTAGAGAAAAGCTCAGTTTTTCACCATTGTGTATAATGTTAGCTCTGGGTTTTTCATATATGGCCTTTATTATGTTGAGGTATGTTCCCTCTAAATCCACCTTGTTAAGAGTTTTTATTAACAAATGTTGAATTTTATCAAATGTTTTTTCTGCATCTATTGAGAAGATTATATGATTTTTATTCTCCATTGTGTTAAATGTAGTATATGCTGATTTTTGAACGTTGAACCATTCTTGCATCCCCAGAATAAGTCCTACTTGATTGTATTTTTAATATATTGTGGAATGTAGTTTGTTAACATTTTTATTGAGGATTTCTTGCTTTTATGTTCATCAGAGATACTGGCCTGAAGTTCTCCTTTTTTGTGTGGTATCTTTGTCTGGTTTAGGTATCAAGGTAATGCTGGCCTCATAGAATGTTTTTGAAAACTTTCCTTCCTCTTCTACTTTTTAGAATAGTTTGAGGAGAATAGGTATTAACTCTTCTTTAAATGTTTGGTAGAATTCACCTGTGAAGCCACCTGGTCTAAGACTTTGTTGGTAGTTTTTGATTACACATTCAATTTTGTTACTAGCAATTGGTCTCTCCAAATTGTCTATTTCTTCTTAATTCAGTTTTGGAAGATTGTATATTTCTAGGAATTTATCCATTTCCCTAGATTGTCCAATTTGTTGGCATATAATTTTTCATAGTACTCTCTTATAATCCTTTGTATTTCTGTGGTATCAGTTGTTCTCTTTCATTTCTGATTTTATTTGAGTCCTTTTTTTTTCGTGATGAGTCCAGCTAAAGGTTTATCAGTTTTGTTTATCTTTTCAAAGAACCAGCTCCTGGTTTCATTGATCTTTTCTATTGTTTTTGTCTCTTTCATTTATTTCTGCTCAGATCTTTATTATTTCCATTCTTCTGTTCACATTTGTTCTTATTTGTCCTTTTTCTAGTTACTTTATATGTAAGTTAGGTCATTTACTTGAGATTTTTGTTTCTTGAGGTAGACCTATAAATTGGTATAAATTTCCCTCCTAGAACTGATTTCGCTGTGTCCATTGTATTTTCATTTTTAATTTCTTCAGTGATCCATTGGTTGTTTAGTAGCATGCTGTTTAGCGTCCACATATTTGTATTTTTTCTAGTTTTTTTTTCTTGTGATTGCTTTCCAGTTTAAACCATGTGGCCAGGAAAGATGCAGATGATGTCAGTCTTCTTCAGTCATATTTTGTGGCCTAACATGTGATCTATCCTGGAGAATATTTCATTTGCACTTAAAAAGAATGTGTATTCTGTTGTTTTGAGATGGAATGTTCTGTATATATTTGTTATTTCCCTGTTGATTTTCATCCTGGATGATGTATTTTTTGATGTAAGTAGGGTATTAAAGTCTCCTACTATTATTGTATTGCTGTCAATTTCTCCTTTTATGTCTGTTAATATCTGCTTTTTGTATTTAGGTGCTGTGATGTTGGGTGCATAGATATTTACAATTGTTATATCTTTTTGCTGGGTTGATCCCTTATCATTGTGTAATGCCCTTCTTTGTCTCCTGTTAGTCTTTGTTTTAAAATCTATTTTGTCTAATATAGATACTGCTGCCCTGGCTTTTTTTTTCTCTTCTATTTGCACTGTATAGCTCTTTCCATCCCTTCACTTTCAGTCTGTGTCTCTAGGTCTGAAGTGAGTGTCTTGTATAAAGCAGATAGATGGGTCTTGTTTTTTTACCCATTCTACCACTCTGTGTCTTTTGATTAAAGCATTTAGATCATTTACATTTAACATAATTGTTAAGTATGTACTTAATACCATTTTGTTAATTGCTTTCTCGTTGTTTTTGTAGTTCTTCTCTGTTCCTTTCTTCTTTTGCTCTCTTTGTGGTTGATGACTCACTCTTTGTAGTGTCATGGCTGGCTTTCTTTCTCTTTTTGTGTATCTATTAAATGTTTGGGGTTTGTGGTTACCATGAAGTTCACATACAATATCTAAGTACATAGCAGTCTAGAGTGATCACCATTTACATCAAACACATTCTAAAAGAACGTATTTACTCCTCCCTCCACATTTTTTGTTTATGTTGTCATATGTTACATCTTTTTATTCATAGTTTTCTTACATCTAATTGTGGCCTTACCCTTTAAAGTAGTCCATTTAACATTTCTTGTAAGGCCACTTCAGTGATGATGAACTTTATCTCTCCTTCAATTCTGAATGGTAATCTTGCTCGGTAGAATATTATTGGTTATAAGTTTTATTTTTCTTTCCCCACTTTGTATATATCATGCCACTCCCTTCTGGCCTGCAAAATTCCCACTAAAAAATCAGCAGATAGACTCATGGGGTTTCCCTAGTACATACCTTTCTTCTCTCTTGCTCCTCTTAAAAATTCTCTGTTTATCTTTAATCTTTGGCATTTTAATTATTGTCTAGAACTATCTGTGCTTCTTGAACCTGTAAGTCTATTTCCTTTCCTCGGTTAAGGAAGTTTTCTGCCGCCCCTATAATGCAAATGTTTATTTGCTTAATGTTGTCCAAGAGATCCCTTAACCTATCCTCATTTTTTTAAAAGTTCTTTTTTTCTTTTTGCTGTTCAGCTTGGGTGCTTTCCATTACCATCTTCCAGATCACTGATCTGTTTTTCTGCATCTGTTAATCTACTGTTGTTCCCTCTAGCGTATTTTTCATTTCAGTTATTGTAGTCTTCAAAACTGATTTGGTCCTTTTTATATTTTCTGTCTCTTTGTTGAAGTTTTCACTAAGTTCTTCCACTCTTCTCTCCAGTCCAGTGAGTATCTTTACAATCATTATTTAAAACTCTTTATTAGGCCTATCGCTTATTTCTGTTTCATTTCGTTCTTTTTCTGAAGTTTTGTCTTGTTCTTTTATTTGGAACATATTTCTTTGTCTCCCCATTTTGCTTGACTTTCTGTGTTTTGGAACAGCTACTTCTCCTAAATTGTAAGGAGTGGTCTTATGTATGGTCATCCCCTGTGCGGACTGTGTGTGCCTGGTGACGCTTGCTGGCTGGCATGGGCTGAGGGTCACAGGGCACTCTGTGCTGGAACTGCACTGGGCCTGTCCTGGAGTGGTCCTGAGGCTTTTTGCACCGGGGGTACTTTGGCAGGACAGCTGAAGCTGATGCAGGCTGGAGAGTCCTGGGGTGCTCCCCATGGGGGGTGCCCTGGTGAAACAGCTGGAACTGAGTCAGGCATGGCCTGGAGGTTCCTGGGGCACTCAGTGCAGGGAGCACCCTGATGACGCTCACTCAGGCATCAGTCAGGAGATCTTGGAGTGCTCTGCACCAGGGTTGCCCTAGCATGCCATTTGGAGCTGAGGTAGTGCAGGCCTGGAGTGTTCCAGCATGCTTTGCTCCTGTGTCACCTTGCTGTGATGGCTGGAGCTAGAGGGAGCACTGACCAGGGGTGTCTCAGTGTGTACCACTCTGGGGTCACCTGGGTGGGACAGCTGGGGCTCGTGCGAGCTAGGGGCCTGGGGCTTCCTGAGGCAATAGGCCAGAAGCTGGACCCTGCTGTGGTCCGTGCTATCAAGGTGGAGGGGGAAGATAAATCATGGCTCTCACCTGCCCATCTGACCCAGAGAGTTCCAGCAGCTCCCCTGCCATTTGGCAGAGTTTGAGGGCTGAACCTTTTATGTACTAGTTGCTCTTTTTCTGTGCCCTAGGTCAGATGAATCTGCTCTCAGTCCTTCAGTACTATCCCTCCCCATTGTTGTTCACAGTGTTGGGGGCGGAGGTTCCCTTCACTGCCGTGTCTCTTGCCATTCTCTTTACCTTTTGTTGTGCTATTCAGTCAGCTTTCAACTCTTCTTCAGGAGGAATTGCTTTATAAATAGGTATAGATTTAGTGTGTCCATGGAGGTGAGTTCAGGATCTTCCTACATCACACCATCGTGGACCAGAACCAGCATAAGGAACTAATTAAAAGTTACGATATTCACATGGAGCACATAATTCTGCCAAACTAGCGGTCCCGTTAGAGACACAGTATGCACTATTTAGAATATCAGAACAAGCTAGCTACATCTTACTTGAGAAGCACAACACAGGATTCTCTGCACCCATTGTGTGGAGCTTGGGGTGACAGCACAGATCCGGGTAGTTTGGGGGCTACCTTAAGATAACTGGCCAATGATTGCAAGCACAGAGCATCCCCACAAATTACTGAATTCCATATAAAGGCAAAGTTCTGGTAAAACCTGATATTTGTTTTTTTCTGACCTGAATATTTAGGTGAGCTACAGCATTGATGGCTGCATCAGGAATTTTCAGATGGTGGAGGCCCCTGCTGATCTTGAACAGCCAACCTCCAGCTTCCATGTTGGAACATGTTTTGCTAATGCTCAGAAAGGAACATATTTTGATGGAACAGGTTTTGCCAAAGCAGGTGAGGCACTCCCATTTTCTTCCTGTTGAATATTAAGCAGGTACCAATATTAACTTCTTGCTTGTATGGGAAAATAAAAGTCCTGGATTTATTAAATTAGTATACTTCACTTAAACCAGAAATAAAAATGTATAGAATAAAAAACGTCAAAGATTAATGTATCTGATCCTGAAGCAAACTAATAGAAAAAGTAGAGTAAAAGGTTATTTGGAGAGTTTATTTCATCTCCCCTAGAGATCAATAACAGCAAAATAAATTTAATTCCAAAAGAAGGCCCATATATTTATATGTGTAATTTATCTACATTCCAGTTTTCCCTGTCTACCTTTCTGAAGATGAGATAGCATTTTTCTTTCTTCCTCTCTTCAATTCCTTGTAAGACTTCATGTCATGATCTCCCACTCCCACTCATACACCCAATACACACATACTGGTGCCCATTTCTCATTGATGGTGATGATGACTGGTACTTTTCCCTGACTTTCTTTAAGGATTTGCACCTTCTAGTGAACATCTCCAGAGCAGGTTTGGATCACTGATAGTAAATGTACAGTTTGGGAAAAAATATGAAATAACTTCTATATAATACAAAAAAAGACATTAACATACTTTAGGATAGACTATTCAGTCTTAGGGTTACCATAGATACATGCATTTGTTTTTTAAAAAAGAATAAATGTGCACACAATATATAGAAGTTATCATGGGAAACGGAAGTAAATAAGTTGTCATTCCTTCCTTCAAAAATATACTATCAATAGGTAAGAATCGGTGTGTTCAGAAATCACAAGAAGGTAAGTAAAATATATTTAAAACTATAAAAGACATACAAGCAAGGTTCTGTGGATATTTAGAAGAAAAATTAATTTTGATTGGGGAAATCTGGAATTGACATTTGAGCTAGGATTTAAAAGGTGAGATGAATGCTCACATGCAAAAGTTTTCAGAGATGGAGGGGCAGGGCCCTCGAACAAAGAGTAGAGGTGGGAAATTTCACCTACAGCAGAGGCAGAAAACAGATAAACAAAGGATATGTTAAACATTAAATACTGGGGGTAATGATGAGTCCGAAATTCCACACGCAGTGAAAATCCATAGCCTTCCCCAAGATTTCTGCAAATTCACAGATGGCTGGCATTCTCTTGGTCAAATTTGATGGCAAGCTTCAGCTTCTGCAGTTGATATACTGACTTGCCATTCTGCCTGGGCTCTTTTGGTTCTGGATCAAACTGGACCAGAAAATGAGCCACTTCCCCAATTTCTAACAACTCCTGCCATCCCCTCAACAGACAGTGAAATACAATCTATTTAAGACTTTTTAGAAAAGCTTACATCACTGGAAACATACAACTTCAATTAAACCTTTAACATCCTTGTCCTTAAATACTTGTCAGCCACCTGATCACCATGGCTTTTACTGGCCACTTCACTCCGTCTTCAGCTGAACTGTTTCATGTTGTTCCTTTCTTCTTACTTCTCCCTTTCAGGGACAAAAACAAGCACTTTCTGTTTTATTTTGCAGAACAATTCAGCTTCTTTTTCTCTTAAAATCTGCTCCGAATCCACCTGTGCACATCTAAACCCATCAAGGCTCTGAGTGGAACAATAAGTTTTTCACATAACAGACATTACCCTTCACTGGAGACAATGGTGGTTACACGTAGCACTTATGTCTTGCCTAATAAATAGAAGACATGCAGAAAATTTCCATGAGTTCTTCCCTAGTACTCCATGCAGTCAATGTGGTCTAGCCCGCTCTTAATGAATGGCTTTACTTCTAAGAGGCATGTCTTAAATATTCCCTGAAAGAGTAAATAAATTAATGCATCAAATATAAGAAATTATAGAAAAATCTTACCTGGGTGAACTGGAAAAATCTATGTCCCAGATTCTCTTCCTTCAAAATTGTTCTTGCAATTCCTTTCTTTATTAATAAAATGGGAACTTTTGAATCCTTTCAGATCACTGTGGCACAGTAATCTTCAGGTGGCCTAGTAAAATCTTACTGAATAATCACTGAAATGCTTGACTTAATCTAACAGTAAGACTTCCAACATAACCATACATTGCTATGAGATTCTTTAAGTTAATCTCAGTGTGGGGTCATCCATTTATTTATTCACTCAACAACTATGTATTAAACCTCCCTGTGTTCCAGATACTTTGGTAGGCACAGGAATAAAATTGCCCTCCCAGAACTTACATGCTAGGAGGGAAGGCGACCAAGAAAATAAGCAATAACTATAAAGTGTGTTATATGATACAATGGTGGAAGTATGGGCCATAAGAGAGTCTGGAACTTACTATAATTGACTAATATCTGAACTGAAATCTAAACCATTGCATTGTACAAATTTGAATTAACAATCCCTAAACTCTAATCCGTAATTAAAAAAAAAAATCTTCATTTTACAGTTGGTGGGTTCAAAGTGGGATTGGACCTTCTTGTAGAATTTGAATTCCGCACAACTAGAACCACTGGAGTTCTTCTGGGAATCAGCAGTCAGAAAATGGATGGGATGGGTATTGAAATGATTGATGAAAAGGTGAGTGTCAGTTTTCTAACTATTTCTGATTTCCTTATGATGGTGTTGTTCATATGTAAGAACCTCTATTGTGAAGCCCTACTGTATTCTTTGTTGGGAGAAACCAGATTGTGTGTTTTCAACATATTTACTCTGTAGACCAGTGTAAACTTTAAATGTGCTAATTCTACAGTAAGCCACTTGTGTTGACAAATAATAGGCCAAAGGGTTTTAGATCTCAAACTCTTACTGTGTTGCTCAAAGTACATGAATACACTGTATATAAAACTATAGATTCCAATGGAAAAAAGAGGAGGGGGACTGGATTGTCTAAAATCAGTCTTTGCCTCTTCTAACACGGTAGGCACTTCTCAGAAGTCAAGGTGGCCAGCTGACCTATCAGCTGCTCAATGTTTATTTAAAAGCATCCTGATACCATTTTTTAAAAAGTGCAGATTTGGGCGCCTGGGTGGCTCAGTTGGTTAAGCGACTGCCTTCGGCTCAGGTCATGATCCTGGAGTCCCGGGATCGAGTCCCGCATCGGGCTCCCTGCTCAGCGGGGGGTCTGCTTCTCCCTCTGACCCTCTTCCCTCTCGTGCTGTCTCTCATTCTCTCTCTCAAATAAATAAATAAAATCTTTAAAAAAAATAAAAAGTGCAGATTTATACTAAATTTATATTAGTATAATAAATTTTGTCAATTTGCTTACAATGGATAAGCTAATTCTAAACACCTCTCCAGTCCCTGCCTGCCTATGAACAGCATCCTGCAACAAAACGACCTGTGTATGTACTTTGTAGTACAGGCAGCAGGTAAAGAAGCAGGCAAAGCAAGAAGTTACCCAAATTTTCTATCTGGCTCTTAAAGAGGAATCATACTTCATCGCTGGTCATATTTCCACTCATACAGTGTTGCGGCCTCCCAAGAAGAAAGACCACATAGTAACCTCAAATATGCTTTCTGTTGCCTCCTCTCCCCCTCTTGTCTTCAAACCATCATCAAAGGCAATAAAGCAAAAAGATCCAGGAGTACAGAGGCAAAAAAGGGGATACTCAATAGTTAATGGCTTGGCCAGATTTTCAAACACGTTCAGTACATCTTGCTGGAGTAAGCTTCATTTCATCACCTGCTTATAACCACTGTTCCTAGCGATTTGTTGGGGTATCAAGTTCCAATACAATGCATGTGTATTTCTCACCAAGTCCTGCTATTACAAACTCCACCCAATATAGTAAAATCTTAATCTTTATGTCACCATTTAGTTTACAAACTTTTCACCTATTGCAGTTTGTCATCTTTTTAAAGCCCCTATGTCTTTTCTTTTACCTTGTCAAATGTGTTGCCAGACTGTTTTTAATGTTTCAATATGTTTCTTTCCTTCATCAGCTTCAAAAGAATTCTGTCATCTCAAATTTCAGGGACTGTGCCATGTTACTGAAAACAGATTTTTCTCATTTAGACATGAACTTCCAATCTAAATTTTTCATTGTTAAGAATGTAACTGGCCTCCTGGCTCAAAGTCTTTGGCACCATTGACATGAAGCCTGCCCAGGAAAGTAATTGATGTTATTCTCAATCCTGCATATAAAATGGAATCCATGAAGGAAAAAAAGAATACATACAATTAAAACATCAAAAGCTTACATTTTAAAAAAACCAATAATCCTCTAAAATGAATTTGTAATTCGAACGAATGAATCACTCTAAACATCTTTTAAGAAATTTTATAAGGTTCACTAAGAACTCTCACACTCTATAAAGATCTATGGTAGGATTTGTGCCTGTGCATTTGAGGTCTTTTTTTTTTTTTTTGTCAGTTAGCCTCAAATTATATGTCACATTTTCTGAAAGCAGAATTATTACGAGTCTCACACATCTTGCCTTTTGCCCCCGCCAATGCCTAGAAGCAAAGAACATACGTTGTGACTCCTGGTTATTAAATTTGTATTTTAATTTCTGTCAACATTTCTTTTTAATTTTTAAAATGCCCAGATATGTTCATTTCTAGCTATTCTAGCTGATGACTCCCCTAAAAACAATTTTTGCTATGTGAACCACCATGATACCTTTCTAATGAAACCATCTGTGACTGTTCAATTTCCTGCTTTCTAGCTTATGTTTCATGTGGACAATGGCGCCGGCCGATTCACTGCTGTCTATGATGCTGGAATCCCAGGGCATTTGTGTGATGGAAAGTGGCATAAAGTCATAGCCAACAAGATCAAACACCGCATTGAGCTAACAGTAGATGGGAATCAGGTGGAAGCCCAGAGCCCAAACCAAGCATCTACATCAGCTGATACAAATGACCCTGTGTTTGTTGGTGGTTTCCCAGGTGAGCCTTATCTACTCCAGCAAGAATTTCTTTGCTGTTACTGGATTTAAAATATTTATATTTCTGTAAATACGTCCAAGAATGTGTGCTTAAGTATACTTCTTAGCTTTAGAATCTACTCCCATAAATAACACCTTACCTGAAATTTCCAGGGTGTAAAATGAGCGTACTACTTATATAGACCACATGGGACTGAACTTTACATGATAGCCCCCAAAGTTTCATTCTTGGGGAGATGGGGGCTAGAGGAAATGAATTTGGCTTGTAAAAGATATGAGGCATTTAACAGCAATGAAGGCCAGAGTTGGTGTTCTTTCTGATTTTTTGAAAATTAATATACCAAAGGAATCATAAAATGTAATGGAACTTATTTCCTCAAGTTCTGGAAATCATTGGGTTAAACAAGCTAATTTCCCCCTTAGGTTATTATAGAGTTTATATTTATATTACAAAGAAACCCAAGCAATAAATCTGCATTCAAAATCCCCATCCAGCACATTAAGTATAGCATGTAAACCACAGAGAGTTACCTAAAGTGCCCATAAACAAGAGTGCCCAACTTGATGAGAAATAACCCAACTGCCTCTTTATAAATACTGTAATAACACACTCTTGGAATGGTCTTTCAGTATTTTGGCAAGAGAAACTGTCATTCCCATTTATGTAAAGCTCCTCTGCTTAACAAAACAAGCAAAATATATATTCAGCAGTCATTAATGGAGGAAAAGATATAGGAGCAATGGGGACCAATTCACAGCTCCTTTTTCCAAAGTTGCTTCTAAGTTTGAAAAGAACCTACTTCTGCTTCAATCAGGATAACCCCCAAAATACTATGAAGGAGGTAATGTATTTCTCCATTCATGGTCTATGAAATGGGATCCTAGTTAGCACCTACAAGGCCTGCTGAAAGAATGGAGTGTCTTCTTAACAACAACAAAATTTGTGTGAGTTTTCAACCAACTTAACCTTGGGGGATGTATTTTTACAATGTAAAAAAGTAATAAAGTCACCATTAAAAGCCCATGTCCTAATTAATTCAGTAAAGTATTTGGTCAACTGAATTCTTTCATTAAATTCCATAATATATCACAGCTATAAATTTGTTCATTCCAAACCAAATTGCTATCTTAAAATGTATAATTTCTACAGGTCTCCAGATTTCAGAATACATAACTATAGAAATACTATAAGTTTAACTGTTAGCAAAGCTAAGAACAAAATCACTAACTTTACTTAAAGCAGCCGACTTCAAAACATTCTCTTAAAAAACTTTCAGAGAAGATGGCAGAGAGGACTCTAAGCTCACCTTGTCCCACAGACACAAGTAGATAACACACACATCAGTGTAAATAACCCAGAAAATGAACGGAAGACAGGAAGAAAAAACTCCACAACTAAATGTAGAGAAGAGGCCACATTGAAGAGGGTAGGAAGGGTGCAGATGCAGTGAGGAGCTAAAGGACTATAGGCCATTGGCAGAAGTGAGGGAGCCACGGGTGTGAAGAGAGGAGAGAAATAGACTATCACACTGGGGAGTCTGCATGGGGAAGACAAATCCCTATAACACCTGGCTTTGAAAACCAGAGAGGCCAAATTTTGTCAGTTCTTACCACCACCAGCAGGACTTAAAGCCTGGAATGTTAAAAATCAGCAGACTTGACTCTGGGAGAGCCGGAAGGATGATAAGAGACTGAGTCCCCATAAAGAGAGAGCACAACAAACAGCCTGTGGAGAAGCAGCAGAGAAGCAGCAATTTAAAAAAACACCTGGGGTATAGAGGAGGGAGTTATTTACTGTCCCAGAAAGACAGAGATTGCTAGGAGACTCCTCCAGGAACAAAGAAGCCAGCAGGTGCTATTTCCCTCCCCTGCCTCCCAGCACAAACACAAAGCCACCTGCAGAAACCAGTGCAGTCCCAACATTCATTACCTAACTTGCTTACACCAAGCCCCACATGCTTCAGTCCTGACTCTGTGGCTTCCCTACCTCCAAAGACCAGCACAAACCTTGCCAAAACTGCATCTCCCAACCTCATGCTTTGCAGGGCCTCCATGCCAGCAGCAGCGGGCTGTCACCTCCCACAAAGGGCATGTGCACCTTGATCATGTGCATTTTGCAGATTGGTCTGGTCGCAGTGGCAGAGGCACATTCCCTCTGGCAGGTGACCAGCTCTGCCTTGTTAAAAGTGCATACCCACCCACTACTTTTAAGAGCAAGAAAACTTAGCTGACTTTCCTAACATAGAGAAACAAATACAGAGAGACAAAATAAGGAGACAGAGGAAAACGTCCCAAATGAATGAAAGAATGGGACAAAATTACAGCAAGAGACCTAAGTGAAATATAGATAAGTAATATGACTGATAGAGAATTTAAAGTAATGATCATAAAGTACTCACTGGACTTGAGAAAAGAGTGGAGAACATCAATGAGATCCTTAACAAAGATAAAAAAAAGAACCAATCAGACATGAAGAACACAATAATTGAAATTAAAAGTACCCTAGGTGGAATAAATAGCAAATTAGAGGAAGCAGAAGAACACATCAGCAACTTGGAGGACAGAGTAATGGAAAGTAATCAACCTGAGCAGGTGAGAGAGAAAAAAATTGTGCAAAATGAGAATAGACTTAGAGAACTCAGGGACTCCATCAAGCATAAGGACATTCACATTATAGGGATCTCAGAAGAACAGAGAGAAAAGGGGGCAGAACATTTATTTGAAGAAATAATAGCTGAAAACTTTCTAGACCTGGGGAAGGAAACAGAAATTCAGATCCAGGAGGCACAAAGATCCCCAACAAAATCAACCCAAGGAGTCCACATTAAAACACATAGTGATAAAAAGAAAAATTTAAAAGAAGCATTAGAAAAGAAAATAGTTACATACAAGGGAAATCCCACAAGGCTATCAGCAGATTTTTCAGCAGGAACTTTGCAAGCCAGAAGGTAGTGAATAATATATTCAAAGTGCTAAAAGGAAAGAAATTTGCATCTAAGAACATTATACCCAGTAAGGCTTTTATTCATAATAGGAGAGATAAAGAGTTTCCCAAACAAAAGTTAAAGGAGTTCATGACCACAAAACCAGCCCTCCAGGAAATGTCAAATGGGACTCTTGGAGTGGAAAGGAAAGATCATAAATCAGAGTAAAAAAAGGTAGGAAGCACAAAGCAGTAAAAATAAGTGTATCTGTAAAAATCAGTCAAAGGACTCACAAAATAAAAGGATGTAAAGTATGACACCATATACCTATAATGTGGGGAGGAGAGGAATAAAAAATGGGTTTAAACTTAAGTGACCATCAGTTTAATATAGACTGCCACATGCAGAAGTTGTTATATACAATCCTATGTAACTAGATCAAAAACCAGTAATAGATATGCAAAATATAAAAAGAGAAGAATCCAAGTATATCACTAAAGCAAGGGAAGAAGTGAAAAGAGAAGATCTGCAAAAACAACCACAAAACAAATAACAAAATAGCAATAAATACATACCTATCAATAATTATTTTGAATGAAAATGTACTAAATGCTCCAGTCAAAAGACATCAGGTGACAGGATGGATAAAAAAACAAGACCCATCTATATGCTGCCTATAAGAAACTCATCTGAGACCTAAAGACACCTGCAGATCAAAAGTGAGGGGATCGAGAAACACTTATCATGCAAATGGATGTGAAAAGAAAGCCAGAGTAGCAATACTTATATCAGACAAAATAGACTTTAAAACAAAGACTGTAACAAGAGACAAAGAAGGATACTATATGATACTAAAGGGACAATCCAACAAGAAGATATAACAATGGTAAATATTTATGCACCCAAATACATTAAAAAGTTAATAATAAATGTAAAGGAACTAATTGATAATAATGCAATAACAGTGGGGGACTTTAACACTCCACTTACATCAATGGACAGGTCATCTAAGTAGAAAATCAATGAAGAGTGGCTTTGAATGACATAGTGGACCAGATGGATTTAACAGATATATTCAGAACATTCCATCCCAGAACAGCAGGATACACATTCTTTTCAATTGCACATGGAATATTCTCTAGAATAGATCACGTATTAGGCCACAAAACAAGTCTCAAAAAATTTAAAAAGGTCCCAGTCATACCATACATCTTTTCTGACTAAAATGCATTGAAACTAGAAATCAACCACAAGACAAAGTCTGGAAAGACCATAAATACATGGAGGTTAAATAACATGCTACTAAACAATGAATGGGTCAACCAAGAAATCAAAAAATAAATGGAGAAAACTGAAAATAAAAACACAATGGTCCAGAATCTTTGGGATGCAGCAAAGGTGGTCCTAAGAAGGAAGTATATAGCAATACAGGCCTATCTCAAGAATCAAGAAAAATCTCAAATAAACGACATAACCTTACACCCAAAGGAACTAGAAAAAGAACAAACCCAAAATCAGAAGAAAAGAAATGATAAAGATTATGACAGAAATAAATGAAATAGAAACGTAAAAAAAAAAATAGAACAGATCAATGAAACCAGGAGCTGGTTCTTTGAAAAGATCAACAAAATTGATAAACCTCTAGTCAGATTTAAAAAAAAAAAAAAGACTCAAAATCAGAAATGAAAGAGAAATAACAACTTACACCACAGAGATACCAAGGATTGTAAGAGAATATTATGAAAAACTGCCAACAAATTGGACAACCTAGAGGAAATGGACAAATTCTTAGAAACATAAACCTCCCAAAACTGAGTCAGGAAGAAATAGAAAATTTGAACAGACCAATTACTAGGAATGAAATTGAATCAGTAATCAAAAAATTCCTAACAAACAAAAGTCCAGGACCAGATGGCGTCACAGGAGAATTCTACCAAACATTTAAAGAAGAGTTAATGTCTATTCTCCTCAAACTATTCCAAAAAAAAAAAAAAAAAAATAGAAGAGGAAGGAAAACTTCCAGATTCATTCTATGAGGTCAGGATTACTAAAACCAGAATAAGACTCTACCAAAAAAGAGAACGGCAGGCCAATATCTCTGATGAGAAGAGTTGTAAAAATCCTCAACAAAATACTAGGAAACTGAATCCAACAATACATTTTAAAAAATCACCACTATCAAGTAGGGTTTATTCCCGGGATGCAAGGTTGATGTAATAACCACAAGTCAATCAGTATAATACATCACATCAACAAGAGAAGGGATAAAAACTGTAGAATCATTTCAATAGGTGCAGAAAAAGCATTTGACACAGTACAACATCCATTCATGATAAAAAGCCTCAACAAAGTAGGTTTAGAGGGAACATACCTCAACATAATAAAGGCCATATATGAAAAACCCACAGCTAACATCATACTCAATGGTGAAAAACTGAGAGCTTTCCACCAAGGTCAAAAACAAGACAAGTATGTCCACTCTCATCACTTTTATTCAACATGGTACTAGAAGTCCTAGCCATAGCAATCAGGTAAGATAAAAGGAATGAAAGCAATCCAAATTGGTAAGGAAGAAGTAAAATTTCACTATCTGCAGATGACATGATACCTATATTTAGAAAACTCTAAACTCCACCAAAAAACTACTAGAATGGATAAGGAATTCAGTAAGGTCACTATACAAAATCAATGTACAAAATCCATTGCATTTCTATACACTAATAATGAAGTGGCCAAAAGAGAAAGTGAGAAAACAACCCCATTTATAATTGCACAAAAAAATAAAATACGTAGGAATAAATTTAACCAAGGAGGCGAAAGACCCATATTCTGAAAACTACAGAACATTAATGAAAGAAATTGAAAACGACACAAACAAATGTAAAGACATTCCATGCTCATGGATTGGAAGAACAAATATTGTTAAAATGTCCATACTACCCAAAGCAATCTTCAGTTTAATTCAATCCCTATCAAAATGCCAACTGCATTTTTCACAGAACTCAAATAATCCTAAAATTTATATGAAACCACTAAAGATTCCAAATAGCCAAAGCAATCTTGAAAAAGAAACACAAAGCTGGAGGTATCACAATTTCAGATTTCAAGTTATATTACAAAGTTGTAGTCATCAAAACAGTATGCTACTGGCACAAAAATAGACCTACTGATCAATGGAACAGAATAGAAAGCCTAGAAATAAACCCACCTTTTTATGGTCAATTAATATTTAACAAAGGAGGCCAGAATATGTAATGGGGAAAAGACAGTCTCTTCAACAAATGGTGTTGGGAAAACTGGGCAGCTACATGCAAAAGAATGAAACTGGACCACTTTCTTTCACCATACACAAACACACACACACACACACACACACACACAAAACCCTCAAAATGGATTAAGGACCTAAATGTAAGACTTGAACCTACAAAATCCTAAAAAACATCACAGTCAGTAATTTCTCTGACATTAGCCATAACGACATTTTTCTAGATCTGTCTCCGGAGGCAAGGGAAACAATAGCAAAAATATTGGCACTACATCAAAATAAAAAGCTCTGCACGGCAGAAGAAACAACCAACAAAACTAAAAGACACCCTACTGAATGGGAGAAGATATTTACAAATGGCATATCCAATAAAGAGTATCTAAAATATAAAGAACTGATAGAACTCAACACCCAAAAAACAAATAATCCAATAAAAAATGGGCTGAAGACATGAACACACATTTCTTCAAAGAAGACATCCAGATGGCCAACAGACACATGAAAAGATGCTCAATATCACTTCTCACTGGGGAAATGCAAATCAAAACCACAATGAGATACTAGCACACACTGTCAGAATGGCTAAAATCCAAAAACACAAGAAACAACAAGTGTTGGTGAAGATGTGGAGTAAAAGGGACCCTCGTGCCTGTTGGTGGGACTGCAAACTGGTGGTGGCTGCTGTGAAAGACAGTATGGAGATTCTTCAAAAAATTAAAAACAGAACTACCCAACCATCCACTAATCACACTACTGTTATATACCCAAAGGATATGAAAACACTAATTTGAAGAGATATATGCACCCCTATGTTTATTGCAGCATTATTTACAGTAGCCAAACTATGGAAGCAGCCCAAGTGTCCATTGATAGATGAATGGATTAAGATGGTGTGTGTGTGTGTGTGTACACACATATATACACAATGGAATATTACTCGGCCATTAAAAAAGAATGAAATCCTGCCATTTGCAGGAACATGGATAGATCTAGATAGTATAATGCTAAACGAAATAAGCCAGTCAGAGAATAACAACCATATGATTCCACTCAAATATGAAATTTAAGAAACAAAACAAATGCACAAAGGAGGGAAAAAAGACAAATCAAAAAACAAAAATGCAGATTCTTAACTATAGAGAACAAACAGTTATCAGAGAGGAGGTGGGTGGGGGCATGGGTGAAATGGATGAACAGGATTAAGAGTACACTTACCTTGATGAGCACTGAGTTATATATGGGATTCTTGAATCACTAGGTTGTACACCTGAAAATAATATAACACTGTGTGTTTACACTAGAATTACAATTTTAAAAATACCTTTAACATAGAAGCTGCATTTTAAAACTGAGCCCTTTTTGCTTTGTTTTTCAGATGGCCTCAACCAGTTTGGTCTGACAACCAACATTAGGTTTCAAGGTTGCATCCGATCTCTGAGGCTCACCAAAGGCACGGGCAAGCCACTGGAGGTCAATTTTGCCAAGGCCCTGGAGCTATGGGGCATTCAACCTGTATCATGCCCAGTCAACTAATACAAATAAGTTTAACTCCAAGAAAGGTCCTTCAAGTATATCAAGTAAAACAAATATATCTTACCTATATATGTTATTAAAACTAATTTGTGCATGTATATTGAATTCTTTCTGTACTCAGATGGTGCTAATTCAGATCCCAGACTGAATTTAAATTCAAGTTTTCTCAAGTCCATAAATATTAAACCAATTATTTCATTCTAAATAATTGCTTGTTTTGTGTGATTTTAAAGATGAAAGACAACTGACATAAATTAATGAATTTGCAACATGCCTTGGAGTCATCTCAAGAAGAGCTTAGATGTTATTTGTGAAGGTAACTTTTTTGTTTGTTTTTACTAACTCCTATTAATACTTTTATCATCCTTTTCCACGTTATGTCAGCCTTGGCTTTCTGTTCAGGCCACTGAAAACAACAGTGGATTTGGCATGTTTGGGAGGAAATCAGCTCCTTTACTCTCTATGTTTGAGAAGGCATTAGCAAATCATTTCCCTGATGCAAGTTCATTATTAGGGAGTTTAACTAGCCATATGAGTGAATACTTTTTGATGCTGAGCATATATTTAGAGAGTATAGATCAGATTCCGGCCAGAGAGCTTAATTACTTGATTTTCGTGTTTGATAATGATTTATAGGCTTTGGGGAGACATCAGAACCAAGTTCCAGAATAACAATTAAGCAAACATTTGATACTACAGTGTTGACACTCGGGTCTCCTTCAGTTTGCAGTGAATATCACAATATACATAATCAGAGGAATATGCTGAAATACATTTTTACTTACCAGGAAACAATAAACCAAAAATGTAATAGAAGTACATCGCTGAGTCTTTTTGAGTTGTAATTTGACCTAACAAATTCATTTCCTTAAAAATGTCTTTGTTTTGTTCTTCTTTTATCCACTATTTAAATCATCTTCAAAAGGGTCTGTGAGAAGACTAGTCTAGATTTTATTCATCAACTTAAGAAGGAAGTGTTTCATTTGCCATCTTCAGTAGAAATAGTTGTAGTCTAATAATGCCAAACATTTACAAGAACAGATCACATGGTAGTTTTAGCAAAAGAAGAATAATCCTTTCTGACAGTGCTATCTACAAGGGAGAAGAAGGTGCTGTTTCTAACAAAGGAGATGGCTGACACACTCTTAGCATTTCATCATTGGCCAGTTGCTTGTTACCATTTGCCTACACAGCTTCATTCTAGAGCGAGTGATTCTCAACAATTGTTCCATTTTGGAATTACCTGGGCAGCTTGATTTGGTCTAGGACGTAGCCTGAGCATGAGGATTTTTTAAAGATCTTCCCAGGCAATACTAAAGTGCCATCAGGAATGAAAACCACTATTTTAAAGAGGAAAATTATCCACCATGCCACCAGTTGTAGAGTCATCTGAGAATCTATTGTTGACTTTGTCTTGGCCACTTCTTGACACACAAAAATAATATTGAATCAAGGTAATGCCTTTTGAGCCATCTTTAAGCAATAAAACTCTTTGAAAACCAACGTGTTTTAAGGAAGTGAAGATGTTACTTCTGCACTGAACACTGACAAGATTTGGGCTTATCTGGAAAATAAGTGGATAAACAGAAGTAAAGATGCTAAGTTCCTAAATTAAAAGTTAATGCCTTTCTTTCCTGGAGCCTGAACAGAAAAAAATATAACAAATTTGAAAGTAGAGGTACCTAATTAACACTCTTATTAGAGTCAAGCCCTGTTGAAGTCAATTTGTATATGAGTACCTTAGAACGGTAGAGTCGGAGGGGCGCCGGGCTGGCGCAGTTGGTTGGGTGACCGACTCTTGGTTTCAGCTCGGATAGTGGTCTCAGGATCTTGGGATTGGGCCCTATGTCAGGCTCTGCACTCAGCATGGAGTCTGCTGGGGTTTCTCTCTCCCTCTTTCTCTCCCCTACCCCCTGCACACTCCTATGCACTCGCTTTCTCTTTCTTTAATAATTAAAAAAAAAAAAAATGGTGGAGTTGGAAGGGGGCTTTGAAATCAATAAATACAATGATTCTCAACTCTTGCTAGACACTGAAATTGCCTTGAGTACATAAGAAAAGAATCATATCTGGATATCACCCCAGACCTTAAATAATCTCTGGATAAGGCCCTGGTATTGGCATTTTATAAACATCTCCAGCTGATTCTAATGGGTGACTAAGGCTGAGAACTCAGGTTTCTACTACCTCCATATTTTATGGGGAGGAACTTGAGGAAACCCAGGGAGAGCTGATTGTGAGCTCAAAGTCCCACATTAGTTAAGTATTCCAAAGCAGTCCTAAGAAAGCTAATCTGGACCCAAGCAGAATTCATTGAAACAGGTATTGGCTAAATTTGTTCCATACAAAATCCATATTCCAAAATGGATCATGAATTTGTATGGACAAAGCTTGTCCAAATTCGAAGATGAGAAATAAGGAAATTTTAGGAACAGGAAAAGTTTCTCTAGCATATTTTACATAAATTTTCTACCTCAATAATCGGATTCTTAGCCCAAAACATTTCTTTTACCCAACATTATCCCCTCAATAATTTCTTCACCTCTCCCACCCACAGCAATCATGAAGAAAGCAGAATACTTTTCATTTATTTTTCAAACACCCACTCTTACCAGGTTGCCAGCCTTCTTCTTTAAGAAGGTGCTTTGTACTTCAGAAGAAAAACATTTAGGAGGGGAGTTTTATTGAAGTTACCATGGTGAACACAGCTGACAAAGGAAAATAAGGAACTGAGCAGATTTCAGCCCCAAAGCACTAGAACACTGCCAGACACTTAAAGCTTCAATTAGTGGTTTTAAAAAATCATAACTATTTTCTCCTTCTTTGATTTAGCCTATTATCTCTAACTACAGAACTTTTCTAGATTTTCTGCTTTACAACAGAGGAAATGACTACTTTATGAATTGAAAATCTCAATTTTATGTTGATTATTTGCTGAAATATTTGGGAATAAAACTGGTATCTATAATGATTATGGAAACAAAACAATAGTTTTCACAAGAGCAGAGTGTAATCTTTCACTAACCACTTGCAAAAGATATGACATCTTCTTGATGCAACTTTATCTCTGTTTTTCAATGTCTAAATTTAATCTCTGTTGAATCGAGAGAGATACAAATCTATGTACTGTACTGATTTGCTTGACTGAGATTAGTACATACTTCAGACCCAATGGGTATCTGAAGGGAAGGAATGCTTCAGGCTGGGCCTGGAATTCTCTTATTTTGGAATCTTGGTAAGGCAGGTTAGTGTTTGGCATTTGTGCCGGATACCTGAGTATGAAATTTGTGCCCATTGTCAAAGGGAGAGTGTTATGACGGGAACTGTGCTCCCCCTTCTCCAAACTCATTTGTTGAAGTTCTAGCCCACAGTACCTGAAAATGTGACTGTATTTGCAGGTGGGGCTTTAAAGGGGTAATTAAGGTAAAATGAAGTCACGTGGGTGGGCCCTAATCCAGCATGACAGATGTCCTTATAAGAAGAGGACAGACATAGGGAAAAGACCGTGTGAAGACAGAGAGAGAGAAGATGGCCATCTAAGCCCAGAAGAGATGCCTCTAGAAGAAACCAACCCTGCCAACATCTTGAACTCAGATATCTAGCCTCCAGAATTGTAAGAAAATAAATTTCCGTTGTTGAAGCTACCCATTTTGTGGTACTTTGTTATGGCAATCCCAGAAAACTAATGCAGAGCTTTTCTGCATAAATACATACATACATACATACATATATACATATATACATACATACATACAGCATCAGCATATTTCAGCTTCCTTCAGAATGACATGTACATCAGAGAAACCAGTTATTTTGAACAGTGACCATTATCACGTAAATGAATAGAAAAAAAATTGAGACCAAAAAAAAAAAAAAGAATATTCACAACATACTTAAATAGAGGAAGTTGTTTTTATATGTGCCTGGGGATATTAGGAATAGCTACACAGTAATTATAAATCAAAGAAATAATGTTCTTCTCAATAACACCACTTACTGAACTTTTCATCAGAATGGATTCTCTGGAGAGCTTTTCTGGTTTGTATATTCAGGTTTAGAGAACTACTGATTTACCCTTGGACAAATCAAATCCCTGTTTTATTCAGGAAAGTTGTCTCTCTGGAGCTCAGCCCACTGCAGGGACATAGCTAATAATATAAAAGGTGGTAGCAGTGGAGGTGGTGAGAAGTAATTAGGTTCTGATATATTTTGAAGACGGATAAGTGTTTCCTGAAGGATTGCCTATGGTGCGTGAGAAAATAAGGTACTGATAACTTCTGATCATCTGAAAGAACAGAGTGGCCATTATTCAGAGATGGGGGTTGTAGTTGAAGTGGGCTTTTTACAGAAAGGAAAACCAGGTGATTGGTTTTAGATACATTATTTTTAAACTATCCACTAGGTATCTAAGGACACTGTACCATAAGCAGTTAGATAATGAGTCTGGAGTTCAGAAAACAGGTCTGAGCTGTAGATATAAATGATGATGAATACTGATGTTATTTATAGCCACATGACTGAAGGAGATCACCAAGGGAGTGAGTGTAGATAGAGGACTATGGACACACCAAAATTAAGAGTATTAAGAGTATGGGTATCATAAAAATTACTCAGAACTTAAAAATAGGACAAAGAAAGTACTGTTCTTTCAGTGCAGTACTGGGCTTGACTCTCTATTGACTGGACTATTTTACAACTCTGTAGGGTCAAAGGTATCTTGTAGGTTTTTGTCTCATAGAAATGTAAATAAATTGGTTGAAGGTAACAATTTTTTTCTAACTGAGTAATCTTATCCTAATATCCCTTTGTGTGTATGCATGTATATAGATTCTCAAATGCTCTTTAGGCCAGTTCATCGTCTTATTTCTTCCCTCATTAATTGAGTTAAATAAAATCTTTGACATGTGTTCACATTATGTTTGCCTGAGAGTCATATATTTAACCTTTTGAAAACTGTACTTTAGCAGGGCAGAAGGGGAGGAGAAGGAACCAGCTGAATCTGTCCAGCTTAAATCAAAACCAAAAATCTAGTCACACAATTTGTTCATTTATGAGTGAATTTTCTCAATTTTCCCTAACCCTCTGTTTCCATCGCTACCTTTCTTGTGAAGTAAATATTACTTTAGAAACCTAAAATAATGTTAAGAGAGAAAAAAAGCTTGAGAATTACAGGGGCACCTGCGTGGCACAGTTGGTTAAGCATCTGCCTTCGGCTCAGATCCCACGGTTCAGGGATCGAGCCCCACATCGGGCTCCATGCTGAGCGGGGAGCCTGCTTCTGCTTCTCCCTCTGCTGCTCCCCTTGCTTGTGCTCTCTGGTTCTCTCTATCTCTCTGTCAAATAAATAAGTAAAAGCTTTAAAAAAAAAAAAAGAAAGAAAAGAAGAAGAAGAAGAAGGAGAAGAAGAAAAGAATTAACAGCTTTTTATCTCACTTTTTATTGATAATTTCTCTCTCCTGCTAATTCAGCCTCTACTTTTACACACACACACACACACACATCCAGTCTTAGCTATTTAGTAATGTTGGAGCCAGGAACAGATTATCTGTGGCCAGATACACTATTGACTTTAAAATTCCTTTACACAAGTCCTTTTGACACTCAAACTCTTGTATATAACACCTAATCATAAAATCATGCATAGAATCTTTTAATCATTTTGTTACTTTTGAATTACATAGGATAAATCAAACACTTAAATTAGATCAGTACATTAAAATCATTTTATATAATTTATTATATACTATTTTCTAATAAAGCCCATTATCTTACCTATAATAGAAATCAAATTGACTGTTGAAAATAACAAAGGAAATATC